ATACAAACTTATATGGTTTGAAATTAAATGCAATGCAAAAATGCATTGAAAGGAAAATGCTTTCCATAAAAGGAAAACAAATGAATTTTTCAATTAAACAAAAATGAAAAATTATTTAATTACAATCTAAACGCTACATATTATATTAATTTACTAATTTTAATTAATACAACAAATTGTCTTAAACTTAAAATTATGAAATAAATAATTTATTTAAACGAATATTAAAAAAGACTAAAAACAAAAATAATATATAAATATTTTTCAAATAACTTCTGTAAATTATTCTCACACTTAAAAGCTATAATTTAAGTCAATTAAATTTCTATTAAATATCTGTATTTTAATGTTTTTAATATAAAAATTATTTTAATTTCATTGATAAACAAATTCCTTTGAGAGAAACTTTTGCAAAGATTTGAAATATTAATACCAAATATGAAATGAAGTGGAAATGTATGGAAGACTGGGAACATTACCATCAAATGGTCGTACCCTTGAACCAACGCCAACACAATTTACATTTGTATTCAATAAAAGTATACAATATTTTCTTCGTTTTTATGGAAATACATGTATTCAACAAAAATAAATTTCATTTTAATTATATATTTCATAGTTATTGTTATAATTTATGGCCACTTCTCTTATGAACCACACATTCACCACAGCATAGAAATACACGATAATTGTTTCAGATATTGCTGTAAATAATAGTAGTTATAACAAAATTGTAACTTTCTATACATTTTTATATGAAATTGTATAAAACTTATAAAATTCAGCTGATGTCAAAGTTTATATTTAGTTTATATTTATATTTTTATGTCTATTTTACTCATATTTTAACTTAACTTAACTTAACTTACTAACTTATTTATAAAAATAATATTTATTTTCATAAAACTCAACAGCAATAACACTAAAAAATTAAGAAAATTATTTTATAATTGATTCAAAATAGTTTTAATAAAATAATTTATATTGCAATTAGTAATTAAGTAACTTGACATACATTAATTATTATTTTAAGCAAAACATTAAATATGTTGCTATTATGTCATTATTCGTTGAAATACTTATGATTCATATATTCAAATTGAGATACGAATTAAAATTTAATAGTTTATAAAAAGTTATATAATCAGTTAAGTTAAACGGTTTATTCATTTATTTTGGCAAAAGATATCAGTACTGAATAAGCATTTCCTGTCAAGACTTAAACTCACTTTTGTCTCCCAATCCATTCAAACTAATTATAGATTAAGAAAAATAAAATTCAATTCTTGCGATAATAACAAACTATATATATTTGCTTTAAGTAAATATCATAACACTTTTCTGAGTGAAATATTCTAGTGTTAAATGTTTGTATAAATGTGGTGTATAAATGAAAACTTAAAGTTAAAAAATATATTTATGCTAACATTTGCATCAATAGATGTCAGAGTTTGCAGTTATGATCAATAAATTGCAGAATTTTATTAAATATTAATAAATGCAACAATATTTGCTATAATTAACACTCAGACTTATTAATGATTACCCAGAATATAATATTAGAAAATTTTAGAAAGGAAAATATTGAATTTTTTATTCAGCTTGATCAATTTAAAGTTTAGACTTTAACTTAGTACAATTTAACCATGCTATTAATTCTTATAACCATAGATATAACCATTTATTCTTATACTGTATCTATAATTTAGTTCACAATTTGAGTATTTATGAATTTTGATAGAATTATTTATATAAAAATAAATACCATGGATAAAATAATAACTGCTAATAATTATATAAATTAACAGAATTTATAGTGTTTTGCAGTAATTTTATTGATTTTATTGGATTTGAATTATAAAATAGGAGTCAATTAATAGGACAATAGTTTAGCTCTTCGGATGACAACAGCGAATACAATCATAACGATGGAAATGGAGGCGCAGACTATTATGGGAAGGTTGGCCTCATATCGGGACCCGAATATCATAACTAACGTTCCGCTCAATACTACTATTGTGGTCATCATTATAGTGAAGGTCGACACCAAACAGAAGCTATCGTTGCAAATGCCGGTCAGCCCTATGATGGCCAGTGCTATGGCCAACACACCAGCCATTGCCCCACGGATTATGTAGTTAGGGATCTCCCCATCCGGACCTAACAGTGCAATGAACTCGTGTTTAATATATTTTTAAATCACTTATTAATTTAAATTCTTAATATATTTTGTAATTTTTATAATTCTTAATATATTTTGTATTTTTTAAAATTCTTAATATAATATAATGGCACGACTGAGGCATACCTGTGCGCTCAAAGTTGATGACATCGATGCCGAAGAATGACTTCTTTTTGGGCACCGGCTCGGGTACCCTGTCTTCGCCGAGCACTGCCCTCCAGACACCTCTCGTGAAAGTTACGACTGAGGCATACCTGTGCGCTCAAAGTTGATGACATCGATGCCGAAGAATGACTTCTTTTTGGGCACCGGCTCGGGTACCCTGTCTTCGCCGAGCACTGCCCTCCAGACACCTCTCGTGAAAGTGAGGGATATATTGAAGAATTGAGTTCCCGATAGAATGAACAGAATAATGACAACCGTTTTGATTAACTTGAATTTAACACTCCTTTCACGGCTTAGACACCACATACTGATCACACCATTTAGTATTTACAACTAATCTTGGTATTTATTACAACTATTCTTATCCCAGAATTCAATGTGAAATTCAATAATTGTTTTGCGAGAAAATATTTATAAGGTTTGTGTTTCAATTAAATATTTTCAATTATTATACACATAATTAAAGTGTTTTAAAAAGTGTGGTGCCATGAATGAGACTTTATTTTGTTGCAAATCTTTGTCATTATTTTCTACCATAAAAACCTCTATTTTTAGTTATACTCTCAGACACACTATCACTGGTATTAATGTTGACTTAAAATAACTTTTTTGTCGACTCTCTCCGAGAGAATTCAGTGAATTATTTCTCGCTTTCGTTACAATGTTTTCAAACGCCAAAAATGTTTTGCTTTCACAAACAATCTCTGTGTAAAGAAGTCAATGATATGTTTTCAATACATTAAAAATACCAATAGTATTGTATTCATACACCGCTGACATATTTTTTATATTAACAAAACACAGAATATTTTTTATTTCAATGCACTAATTATATGAAAATATTTTAATTTATATTTAATGTGCAAAGAGTTTGCATTAAAGTTGTGTATTATGTTTAAGACATTTAATTCGTGGAAAAGCGGCTTATTTTTCAAATGAAGCTATTTGTGGGCCATTCATACACACATGAAATGAAAGCAAAATATTTCCAAAACATTGAATAACACGAAAAAATATTATTAACGTATATAAATTACAGTTGTGTTTCCTAATAATGGCTATTTTATTATATTAGTTGAGCACCAGGTTCTTTTTATGATTGTTTATGATTTTTAGCACTAACTTAGTTTCAAAACTAATACTATACTAGTACTGTGTGTTCGGCAGGGATGTAAGGTTTTAAAAGTTTAATAATTTTTAAACTAAGCGAGCTAAATTTGTGAAATAAAAAGGAAAACATTCACAAATGTATGACATTTAATAATTAATGTTTAATAATTTTTTATGTCACCCTAGGAGTTGTAAAATAAAGTCAGAACTCATATGCAAATATGTAGATCATTAGATTGTCAAATTAATTTTTAGGATATCTACAATTAATATTTATTATCAAAAATATATTAGAATGTTTAAAAACTATTGAAATTTCATGTGTATGTCACAAAATATATTTATATTTTATTCCCTGGTCATAATATTGAAGAAAGTGCAAAAAAGTCTGATTATTGGGTAAATTCTACAGTAAATCACTCGATATGTGTATTCATTAATTTGCATATAAGTTTTTACTTTTATTTTAAAAATCCCAGGGTGACATAAAAATATTAATTATTAATTATTAAATGCCATACTTTTTTGAATGTTCCCCATTTTATTTTATAAATTTATCTCGCTTAGTTTAAAAATGATTAAACCTTCAAAACCTTACATCCCGGCCGAACACACAGTATAATACCATTACACGTATATACAGTACAACTGTACCTATAAAACAATACTAATTCAATTATATTTATTTTATATAGGTTTTCTAGCATTTAACTGTGCTTTAAATGGAGTTTACATAATAAAGCCTTATTTTAAACTAAACTAATTTATAAATTTAATATAAAGTCTATTATTTTTTGATAAATTTTTAACTATAGAAAGTATTTTTAAAATTAGTTATATTTATAATTTATATTATTTTATAATAAATTTGTAGACAACATTATAAGAGTTTATTTATTTTAAACAAAATTTAGACAATAATTATAATTATTTGAAAAGAGTAACAAATGTTGAAATTGTGCAAAACTTCACAATTTATAGCAAATTCATGTGTTTTTCGAGATTAAAATGCATAATTAATTATGAGTGAATTTTAAAAATAATAAACTTTTACCCAACTTTTCTCATGTTATAATGACATTTGTTTTAGGTTTAGCACAAAATAAATATATATTTCAACAAAAGGTATAATAAATGTATAATTATATGAATATCACTGTTGTAACAGAATATTTTCTATAACAATTGTCTACTAATTTTACTTATACAATAAATGTGTTTGTTACGTTTTCAACATTTTGGAAAACTTTCATTATATCGCTTACAATGCATTTAATTGTAATAATATTTTAAAAATAACTTTCATGTTAGGAATTTTGTGTATACTGGGTATATATTTTGCAAAACCGTGCAAACACTTTTAGAAATCTCATCCCAATCCATTTTATAATTTTATTGAAAGTCATGGTTAAATAATTTTTACAAATTAATGTCATTTTTGTAGTGTTACTAACGAAAAAAATAACTAAAATTGTTTTTTGAACATTTATTGATTAAATAACAATAGTAAAACATGTTTATTTAAATATTTAAAGACTAGTAATTATAGTATACATTAATTGAATTAAATTTATCACTAAT